TTTTTTTTTTTTGGTTTTTTGGTTTTTTTGAGATTAGGGCCTTGCTCTGTAATTAAAACTGGCCTCAAACTCCCAGCAAGCCTCTCTTCTGAGTGGAAACCATTGTCATTTCTAAGATGATCAAAAGAAATGAGCCTTAAAGACTTTTGAAATTAACTGTTTAATAGATGCTGTTCTACCTAAATGGGAAATATAAAACAAGCACTAGGATGATTTTCCAAACTATGAACACAGATATTTCCTTATGAGGGACAGTTGGTAATCTTTATCAGTGCATTCTTCATGTTCTTAATTATAAAGTTTAAAATTTAGTGTTAGGTTTAAATATGTTGTGCTTTATTCCTACCAAACAAATATGCTTCTCTCAATATAAAGAATTATGAAATTTATTTTACCTCCATTTTCCTTTTCCTGCTAATTCACTCTGATCTAAATTTTGTTCTTAATTTCAATTCGTCCTCATGACTTAGATTTTTCTGGCATCTCTACTGCTTTATGAGTCATTAGCATAGAGCTTTTAGTCTTTGCTTTATGATTCCAATTTGGCTTTGAAGGCTTCAAAATAAATCTTAAATTTATTTTGAAAACAGAGGATGTAAAAACCATTGGGTTCTGAATTTTGTTTAAGAAGGACTTGCAGGAGGTAATCTGATTGAAAGGGTATTCAATTTTAAAGTTGTGGTCCTGGAACAAACATGTTATATTTATTTACCCTGTAATATTTTTGGTGGTATTTCTCTATATTAGAGGCATCTATAGATTCATCTATTTATTAATTGATTCAACAAATATTTTTTCAGTCCCAGTGAGATTGTTTTGGATGCTGAAGGTGCAGTAGTACTCTGCTCTTCTGGGGCTCCTTTCTAACACACGCAAACAGTATTGTCTGTTCAGTCAAGAACAGCACAACATCAGCTGTTCCTGTTACACAGGAATTCAAAAAGGCACCCAACCAAAGAAATAAAAGCTGTTATCATTAACTAAGAGCAAACTTATAAAAACAAAGAAGTTCCCCTCTAATTCCATAAGCTCAAACTAATAAAAACAATTAAATTATTAGGATTACTCGATGTAGATTTTAGGGGTGAGGTCAAAACAAAATAAAAGAATTCAAAAGCAATTTGACAAATGAACTTAAAATAAATGGAAAATTATTGTTTATAAATTTTTCTAAACTTAGACAACCCACTAAGATCTAGCAGACTCAGATTTAAATTTTGTTGGATCTTTATTATTTGTCTTTGCTATCAGATAGTAGATTAAGAATTGAACCTAAGCAGTACTTCCTATCAGTTAGTACTTTTTTCACTCTAAGTAGTTATTTAGTTTCTGTAATTTACTTTTCTGTGAGTAAAATGAAAGTAGAATACTTACAAAGCACAACTGTTGGAATTCAATAGCATGCCAAATTTAACTTGTCTAGTACAATGTATTGTCAAAATCACGGGAAAATTTAATTCTTTCCTTTCTCCAGTCTTTTTGCAGAACACTTATAAGTCCTTTTTTCCATATGTAAATTTTACAGGGTTTTAGAGTTTTTAAACAGTCATAAAATTGAAGAAATCTTAGAACTCTGGTTTCTAAAATTATTTTAACTGTCCAGAGGAAGGCTACAATGAAATCATATTTTAATTGTTTTAAACTACTTTAAGAAAATAAGAATTTCTCACATGAAAAATGAAGAAGTTACAGAGAATTTTATTAACCCTGTGGAAGTTATTTCATACCCATAGGATTTTATAAAAAACTTCTGGAGCCATAAAAACGGCTTTGAATAATCCATAGCAAGATCTACTGAGATCCTTACGTAGGATTTGCTTTCAACTCACAGTTGTGTTTTGTTTCAACTTAATAAGCATGTTTTAATATTTTTTCTTGTGTTTAGAAAATTAATTCAAATGGATTATAAGGAATGAAAGAAATATAAACTCATTATCATGTCACCTAGAGATAACCCATTTCGTAGTATATGTCAATCCTGTGTTAGTGGTGTACTGAAAAATAACATAAAAATCTCCTGATAGCATATACCATAATGAATTATATGATTTATTTCTTATAAAATTTTCAAAGTAAGTTGCCAAATGGTAAGATATAATTTAATATAAAAGTAGTTAGAAGACCAGGGATTTAGCTCAGTGGATCTGCCACCTGCCTCACAAGCGCAAGGTCCTGAGTTCAATCCCCAGTACCAAAAAGAAAAGAAAAAAAAAGATCTAGTGAGAAATGAGTGTATAGCAGAATGATGAGGTCTCAGTATACAAAAATCAGTGGTAAGTTTAACAATAGTATTTCGAGTATCTAGAGAAAGGAGTGAATTGATTTTTCAGTCATTCTAGGAATATTAGTTTTTTAAACTGTTGTTTGGTAACTATTGATGTGTCTCAATAAGCAGCATTTGAAGCAAGCCCTCTGATAGTTTCTGCTGTACAAATGTTTTATGCGTCCAGTGAAGGGCTGATCCATATGCCTAAACCCATCAAATGAGCTGGAAAGTTTCTGGGGAGTCAGAGCCGAGGACGGCTTAGTGGATCAATAATGAGATACAGAACCTTTAGCCTTTTGATCACAGGGTGACTTGTGAGCTTGCATGAGGTTGAACAAAAGGCATTATTGGTCAATACCATACAAGAGGTGAAATGAATTGCTTAATTCCATTGAATTTTATTACTATTTTCTGGCTATTTGATATCATTATAGATCCATTGGGTTCCCCTTTATCACTAAAGTATACTTATTTTGACCAGGATTAAGGTGGTCTTCTCAACCATAGAAGCTAAACAAAATTTAAAAACCACTCTGAGTGCCATCAGTTTGTTTGATAAATGTTCTAGATAGTCCATACATTTACTTCTACTAACTCTAAGGAAATGGATTCAAAATTATACATCAAATACAAACAGCTTGCTTGAATTTTGGGGGATTACTATTCTGGTATAAGCCAAATGTAATTCCTCCACTTTTTCAGGTTAAGAAGATACAATGCCTTGTTCTTGATAATAATTTTACTGTGAAAGTTACATTCTTTCATTGCTCATTTTAGTAACTATGTACTGACTGCATAGTCTGTACCAGAACTGTTTGCTTTTTTACTAATGCAAAGTTTATAGATTGTTCTCATTGTACTATACAGCATAGTAAGTTGGGGCTTCTGATTGTTGTGTGTTGTAGTTAAATAACCTCAGAATTATATACACTCTAGTAAAGTCAGCAATATGCTCATAGCAATGAGTGCCAAAGATTGCAGAAGAAAAAGATTTTTAAGGCCAAATAATAAGTCAGAGAAATGAAATCTTGTATCAAATCCTTATATTCTGTGTCCAGAATTAAGAACTAGAGTACATTTCTACAATAATATATAGCAAAACAGGGATTAGTTTTCAATTTTCCAAGTCTGAGAAAAAAACATTCCATGATGAATATTTAGCAAGAGCTTAATATCTGACAAAGAAATTGATAGAATGATTAACTGCACATAGATTGTGCCTTCAAATATCATGTTACAGACCAAGTGAATTGGCAGCTAATAATATTCTTTATTTCTTTCTAATCTCAGTACTTAAAAAAGAATCCCTTGCACAAAAAGGGTTTAGGAAGTGAATGAATGAATGAACACATATCTGTCCAAAGTATCTGGAGGGGAATCTTGCAGATAAGTTTAATTGAAGCCTAAGAATCCGGGATTTGCTGAAGAAATAAAATTATAAATCCCATGAAGCATATCTACTAGAAAAATAATCCTAGAAGACCCCTTGATCATTTCAGTTCTGTGTTACATACAACTAAAATATTTTTTTGGACTACAGTAGAAAGAAGTATAAAAAGCACTGGATAAGATCTCATTTTAATTTTTTCATGGATCTCATTTTTTCTTCAACTGTTTTCAGTAGTAAAAAAAAAATACAAATGACACCCAGCCATTAGAATATCAGTTTGAAAAATAGAGAAAGTAAAATTCTGATTATTTATTGTATTAGTTGGTCTCACTGGTAAACATTCTAAGAGTAAAATTTAAAGTGAGTTTCTTGTACACCTTTTTATTCAGTTACTTGTGCTTTCCTTGATATTTCTTATAATCACTGAGATTAACTTCAAATGATAATATAGCTAAAGTACTTTTATAAATGTAGTGTTGTTATGGCTTGTGTCTAGAGGTCCCCCCAAAACCTCATGCAGTCATAGGTGGAGCTTTTTTAGGGGTGGCTCAATCTAGAGTGTGTGATTGATTTATAGTGCAATGTTAGGATTAAGGGTCCTAGGACTAAGGGTGGGCGATTACTAAATCAGTCCACTAATTGGTTTGGCACCACCCTAATCCTGGTAGCCTGTATACAATATAAGGGACAGAAAGAGGCTACCTCCTGGCTGCCATGAACTGTTTCTCCTCTGCAATGCCTGTCTGCCATGCCATATTGCCTTGGAGTTAGTCCATTATGGGCTGAAACCTCTACAAACTGTGAACTGTAAGCCAAATAAACCTTTCCCCCTTTAACTTTGGGTGTCAAATATTTTGTTTTAGCAATGACAAAAAGTAACTAAGGCAAGTGTTTTACATATATTAAATTCATCCCCGTAATACAGGGAAGAACAGACATTGCAAACAAGTTTTTGTTACGTGTGTACGTACAGATATACATTTGAACAAAATGTGGCTTTTGGGTATGACACGGTGGAAAAGAATTAAATTTTTTCTCAATTTTCTTGTATAGTGGAACAAATTGTTAATGTATTCTCTTCACCCTATACTAACAAAATTCCATACTCCCCATTGTCAACGTGAACTTTCTCTTCAATGAGACATGAGGTCACGTAAGAAAGGAAAGTTACTTCATTCTTTTCTCATGGGCATTCTTAATAATGATTGCATGTGTTTTGCCATTTCCCCTTAGCTTCATCAGAGGTCTTTCACTACATCCAAAGATCCATCCCAGAAGAAGTCACAGATCACCAAAAAAATACCCTTCAGAAACAGGAAATCACGCTTCCTGAGTCCACTTCTGAACACAGAAATCTGTTTCCTCTACACGTTCCAAATTGGCGAAACTCTGTCCTAGCACATTCAGTGTGGAAACAGTTATCAAAAAGTCTGGAAGGACTTGTCTCCCAACTTCACATGAAACTTTTCGCTTCAAACTACTGAGATGAAAGGAGCAAAGTTATTTATCCTCCTTTCTAGTTTATGGAGTGGAGGCATTGGACTTGACCACATTAAGCATCCTTTGACTACCCCTGCGGATGAAAACTCCAAGAATATGACTTCTCTTTCAGCTCCTGCAAATTACACACCAAGTTTTCAAATGCTCTCAGGCACTCAGAACACATCGACTAAGATCTCTCTTACTCCTATGCTGAGGACATCTGAAGTGAATCCTCTACAATCAACATTGCCTCCTTCAAAGTCAAGCCAGGCTCCTGAGAGTGTGAGAAACCAAACACCCACAGCCACAGGGAAGACAAAAGAAGAAGTGGTAAAGTTACAAAAGCTTGCCTTTCCAACCAAGCCCACCATCAACATCAAACCTGGAGCAGAGACAGTGGTCCTTTCCAACTCTACACTGAAATTTCTTCAAAGCTTTGCCAGAAAGTCAAATCAACAAGCAAACTCTCTAAAATTAGCTGATGGCATGGGAAATAGATCCCCAAGGGAAACATACCTCAGCAGAGGTGATAGCATTCGAAGCCAAAGACCCAGCTCTCAAAAGTCCAGTTTTGAAACAACTAGAGGAAAGTAAGATTTTTTTTTCTTTTTTTTTCTTGCTCTGACTATAAAATTTTAAGTCAATAGTTTAAACTGAATTACTCCAAGAAAATTATTTCAGGTTCAAAATAAAATCAGGTCATAGTTGTAATTTTAGCATTACAGTTGTTACCTTAAGTAACAGAAAAAGATGAATAAGTAAAATATAGCAATTTTGTTTTAGCTGAAATAGTCAAAATCCCTTTTCTATTTACCTACACAAGGGCTGTTGCCTAGGTGGTCACTACAAAAGTAGCACCAAAGTGACTGTTAATTCTACTCAAGGGAATGTTGGTTATGCTCAGAACTATACCCAAAATATGAAAGAAAAATTGAAAAAATATGGACATATACATATTTGAAAATTGGAATGGGATATTGTGGAAAGTATGCAGTTATTAAAGATCACACCAAACCAATTGAGTTGTTGTGCACTGCAATTCCATGTAATTGAACCTGGTCTGTAATCCTGGCTTCAGGTCTGTCTAGATCCATGACTGCACAAACAGCTTATTTTCTTGGGTTTCAGATTCTTCATGTGTAAAATAGTAATACCATACCGGAAATGCAGAAAAAACATAACTTCACAGGGTTATGAAGATTCAAATTAATAGAATGTGCTTAGATGTATGCTTCTCACAGGAAAAACTGCTCAACAAATCATATTTAGCTAATACTTTTATTATGTTAAATTGTGTTTGTTATCATGAATGTGATGAATCAGAGAGCCTGTGTTTCACAGATTTTGGTTTAGTTAGAGGAATTTGAATTGTTGAACTGAAATAATAAAACCAAGTTTAAAGGAATATTGCTTAGAAAGCTTTCAAATGGCCCACAGACCAAAAACAAAGAAAAATACCTGAACATCACACCAATATTTTATTCATTTAATACTCAGGGTCATCTGTAGTTGGGAATGCTAGAAGTTTAGTGGTACAAAACTAAACTTACAAATACATATACCTATAGTAAAATGATTTCAGGACACTTTTCAAACAAGCCTTAGAAGCTAAATTAGTAAAATATTTTAATAAAAGTATAACAAAACTCAGGTGAAGAATGGGAGTAGATACCTACTACTTGAAAGGTATTTTGTCTGAGCTATTGTTGATACAGAGATGAGGAGGAAAACATGAAGAAGGCAATAAATTTGTGGGTATGTATTCTGTTTTTCATTGTAAGTGTATTTTTTCATTATATTTCACAGGTTAGAGAACTTTAAAACATATAAGTAAATCTGATTTTAACTATTCACTTATAATTTGGAACAACCCAAATTAAATGCAAAACAAATATTATGGCTACAAATATTTAATTTCAGATGTGTAGATTTTGTCTACAACAGACAACTAACAAACATATATTAAACTTTCTTATTTGGGAGAACAACAGGATGTTGTCTATTAAATAATAATTATAAATGTCATTTATTGAGAACTTTTTCTAAACTGTTTACATGTACCATTTCTATTAGTCATATTAGCATCTGAAATCTTGTTTTCTTCAATTAATTACACTAGAACTCATAGGCAGTCATAAGAAAATATTGTGAAATTTTCAGAGATGTTGTAGTCAGGAGATGTTTTCAATAAGATAGGAAATATAATAAAAATAACAAAGATAATTCAAACTGAAATACAAGTTGAATACTGTGTAGCATACAAAAAAGTGGCATATTGTGTCATAAATAAAACTAACAACTAATAATTTGATAAACAGTGGCTCTTGAATGATAGTTGTTTTTTTTTTTCTCATTGGGAATTGTACCTTTATATAATGCATCTTGGTTCTTATTTTTTCCCCATTCCTAGCCCTCCCTTCACGCCCTCCA